TTGAAAAAAGTTAAAGTAAAGTAAAAGTTAAAAATCTTTTTTTTTTAATGTATAAGTAACGTCATCTTTAGATACAGTTTGTAAACACAAATGATGTACTTTAACATATGATTAAAATGTTCCTGACACCAGCTTCTTGCCTCACAGTTGGAGACGCTTGTTGAAAGAAGGAGGTGTGGCTCCGCTCAGGTCCACTTTAGCTGATTTGGAAAACTGTGACTGGGTTAAAGGCCTAATCCCAAACTCCACTCTGAGGCCGGAGCACTAAACCCAGACAGACGTCACGGTTGTAGCGCTCGAGAGTGAAAGCAGTGTGAAGGAAAACGACAAAACAAGTGACTTTAGACTTTCATTCGCAGTTTGATCAGCTCCAGGAAAGTCTGGACAGAAGGTGCATAACAGTGTTCAAAAGTATTGACCAGCGCCCTCGTACACTTGGAAGTAGATCTATTCACTACTGGAGATAACATGAGCTGTTGTTCTTTGGAAATAGTTTTCTAAATGAACAGGTAACAAAATTAATTCACTCAAAACACACTGTCTTAATCTTAAAACCCTTCTCCTTGTGCTCTGCAGTGTCCTGAGGCTAACAAACGCTGAGAAGAGGATGGAGGAACAAGCAGCACTCGACGTGGGCAAGATGACCAGCCAGCAGGCTCTGTGCGACTCCGGCGACGACAAGAGCAGAAAGCGCATCTCTACTCTCAAAGTACTGAAACTACCTGTAATCAACACTTCTCTGCTGGTTGCTTGTAATTCTGTTTGCGCACTTCATTCTGCTGATGCACTCAGTGTAAATTGCATGACGGGGGAAAAAAAAAACACACCAGGTAAAAGCCTAAAAAGCAGCGTAGTGGTGCGATTGTTAGCATTGACTCCTCACAGCAAGAAGGTTCAAACTTTTTAAGGCACAGCTGCCTTACGGGTGTTTTAGACTGGTTTGCTGACATGGTTATGCCCACTTTTAACCAGTTTGAGCTGGAAGAGCGTCCTCTTTGACCCCGCCAAGACTAAACTGGTGCAGATGATGGATGGATAAATGCTCCCAACGCGAGATCTGTTTTTGGTCAATTGAACGACGTTTTTCAGAGATGCGCTTTCCCCCAAAGTAGGCAGAATCACGCCAAGAGCCGATCACGTCCTGCTTTCTACGATCTTAGCGGGCGACATTTCTACTCCAGGCTTTCGTGAGGCACTCGTGTATCAGTCCCGAGCTCAGCTTTGCCTGATTGCAGCAGCGCACTACAGCCGTCATCAGCAAGTTAATGGCACATTTCTTACAAAACACATCTGCGCTCGGTTTCCATGTTCTTCCACATGCATCCTGCTTCAATCTGTAGATATTTAGTTTTAAAGTGCACTCTGAGACTCCCTCCGCACACCAATCTTAATATAACAACTAAAAATTGTGACTTGGCACCTGATTTTTACAGTTTGTAGCTTCGCACAGTTGATCCATTTCACAAAAATAAGCTAAGTGTGCATTAGGAAAATTCTTTAAGCTCCTCAGTTGGTTGAAACCTAATGAAGGAAAATGAATAAATGCACCTTTTACAAGCCTATTTTGACATATGACATAATATTTTCTCTCTGCTGTTTATGATGGCCTCATCAAAATGTACACTTTCAGATGAGAATCAAAGCCCCTGCACATTATGTATATATGTAATACTGTTACATAGCAAAGCATGCAGGGGATTTGCAGTAATTCCTGATGGGAATAATATTAAGTAATAAAAACCTCCAGGATGCCCACACATCAAGAGAAGCAAGTGGAGGCTGCAGAGGAGGAGGCTGATCGCTTCTTCAGTTAAAGATGATCATTTTACATGACAAAGACCTTTGCAAAAGACAAAATAGACTATAAAAACCCACATTATTAAAATGTAATGACACACTGATACTACAGTGCTGTGAGTAGAAACAATCAATCGCACAGTCAATTCTGACTTTTGGAACTGATGATAGTTGTTTTGCATATAATGTAGTGATTGTTGTGCCTCATCTCTCCTGAGTGGCAGCTGCATAGATAAAAATCTATTAAAGGTATTTATCCATCTTGTATTCTGCACATTTTTTTTTTTGCTTATTTTGTTCTTAAGCTTAAGCTTCCATTGGCCCCGTGTTCTCTGAATCTGGATAATTGAGTTAACTTGATTTGACATGAGCCTGGATTTTTCGTTTCTTTACGTCTTTCTTATTCTATGAGGTGTAGAATGAAATGTTTTAACAGAAGAGTCTAGTAGAGTTAGAAAGGTGTTAGTTTACCAATACACTTTGGAGCAAGATTTTTCGGGATCTTCTGGACGAGAAGCAGAATCTTTCTTTCTAAATTTAATGGGAAGCCAGTTGAGTGACATCAGGGTGATATAAGAGCAATTTGAGGTCTTAGGAGGCACAAAAAAGAGGCTTGCAGTTGTCTAAACAGGACGAGACAGAAGCATGGATAACCATTTCAAAGGATCCCGAATGTCTGACTTCATGTGTTCATCAAATTTCAACTTGTAGTCAAAAGTTAAAAAATAAAAATAAAGTTCTATTTGTAGGAATTCAGTTGCACTGTGAGGTAATTGAAGCAAATTAAAGGACATACAGTTTCCAGTCTTGGCCAGACAACTGTGCAGAGTAACTAAAATGTGGACGTCTCGGAGCCTAATTGATAAGTAAAGCTGTGCATCATCAGCATATTGATGATAAAACCCAACCAAGTTCTCAGACAATGTGCCTCAAAAGGTGCATATGTAATGAAAATTAAATAGGTCCAAGTATTGATCCCTGAGGCACCCCACAAGTAAAGGTAGGACTGTGAAAACACAAAATATCAGGTTACACACAGAGTCTAGAGTTTAGAACGAGAACCATACACTGCAATGTGGATTTTTCTTACTACTATTCAATTTTATCTGAGTGAATGTGCAGTCTACAGTACTGGCTGGATGACACAACTTTTAAATTTCTCTTTTCTTTGTGTTTTCTAGTTGTTCATTGTGGCGCTGTCCTTCGCTTATTTCTCCAAGGCCTTGACTGGGACCTACATGAAGAGCTCCATCACTCAGATCGAGAGACGCTTTGACCTCTCCAGCACACACATTGGTCTAATAGACGGCAGTTTTGAGATGGGTATTGTCTGTTTGTTTAATTTACCGTAACTTTTGTGTAGCCAATCAGTTCTCGCTGTTTATTCCCTGCTTTTTTTGGTTTTCCTGTGGAGGAATTTATCTCTTTCTTATTTCTTCTTTCCTCCTGCTCTCCTGGGTTGTGTTTCTTGGAGGTAGGCAACTTGTTGTTCCTAGCCATGGTCAGCCATTTTGGGGCGAAGCTGCATCGGCCCAGACTCATCGCCGTGGGCTGTTTCCTCATGGCTGTTGGGGCTTTTCTCACCGGCCTGACACACTTCTTCATGGGCCGGTAAAGATCTCCGAATGCTCAAATTTAAAAACAAAAAAGATGAACTAAGACCTTCCAAATAATCTAGTTTAACATCTTGCTTTCACAGCTATAAGTACGACACGGTCATTCAGGTCTTCCAGAATGACAGTGTGAACATTGCTGCCTGTGTGGATCCTCTGAAAACAGTGGAGGTACCAGAAGTCCAGATAGAGCCTTCTGGGGAAGACAACAAAGGTAAGACCATCAGCTTCATCCTGGGATCAGATCTGTACATTTTACACTCATGAAAACATTTTCTGTGTTTACCTTGTCTGGATATAGCTAACAGTCAGTATATAGGCCTCCTTAGGCAAAAAGGAACTGTTTGTTTTTTATCAACTGCACACCTGAGCAGTGTGTCTCTATGGATGTCAATGTCAGCCCTTGGCAAGGCCATCATTTTGGTCCAAATATCTCAACAGCAGTTGGATGGATTTACATTACATTATGTGCAGAGACTGATGGAGTCCAAAAGATGAATCCTACTGGTCTTTGTTCCAGTAAATACCAAAAGATCCATCCATTCATTTGCTTTTGCTTGTCAGTTCACATACATCATCTAGCCTAAAAACACTTTTGAATGCCCCAGGAGGAACTAGAAAACATCACTGGGGGAAGGAAAACCTGGAATGACCTGCTTAGCCTGCTACCATTGTAATCCCTCCAGCAGGTTCTGGGTCCACCCCTGGGCCCCCACCAAAGGAAGGCGCCCAGGTGGCATCCAAACCAGATGCCCAAACCACTTCATCTAGTTCTTTTTGATGCAAAACAGTAGCAACTCTGCTCTACCGTCTGATCTTTCTGCCTTTTCTCGAAGGCAGAGCCAAGTCAGTCTACCAGGGAAATCCATTTTGGTGGCTTGGATCCATGATCTCATTGTTCTGGTCACTACCCAGACATGACTATAGTGAGAGTTGGAACAACGACAGGGCTGTAAATCGAGAGCTTTGCCTCTGCTCTTCACTGAAATGGTCTGGTACAGTGGCTGCATTGCTGATGACATTGATCAATTTGTTCATATCAAATTGAACAAGATTCTCAGATACTCAAACTTCGTTGCTTGAGGCAGCAACTCACGCCAAACCCAATCCACCAGCAGAGAACCATGTCCTTAATGTTTAGTTCTGGTCAAACATCTCATCTTGGAATATGTCAACAAAGGAGATTTGTCTACAAACTTCCATACCATTCATTCTTAGCATTGTAAATATCTGACACAACTAGCACCAGAATCATGAAGCCAACAATAACATTTGTAACTGTGCAGCTCTGGTCATTTGGAGTCAAAAGTCAACTCCTTATCCTCCTTACCTGTTTGAAACAGCTTAGATGGGCACAACTAGACACCACTGCCAATAGCAAACGGATGATTCTATGTTCTTGTCTGGAAATGACTCATTGTTCTTTCATCTCTTTGTACTGACCAAAACAGTAGGGCCAGGTCTACTAACAGAAATGTCTGTCCTTGTCTTACGAATTTAATGAGGAAGTTGTGGTATTGTTTAGCTTGGATTGGTTGTTGCTTCTTCTAAAGAAATCTTTGCAAACTGTGTCTCATTTCAAAATGTTTGCGCGCCAAATGGAATATCCATGTAACAAATTGACCGCAATTTAGCACACCCTTACATGGTCTTGTGAAGGTTCAACCACATCCATTGGGCAACCATATTTGAGTGGAATTTAACGGCCTGCAATGAGGACAAGCTACACCAAAAGTTTCTGCTATGGTCGGCGAGCACCAAACTACGGCAATACCTTTTACAGAGACTCTCCCTTAACATAAAACCTGGTTTAAACTCACAGCAGCTCACTGACTTCTTTAAGCTCTCCCTGGAATGCACTGATCCTGCCTGACCTTTAAAGCCACTCACCTCCCACACAGCATACATACCTCCCAACAACTGTAAAACCATATCAACACCTCCCTGATTGTGACCTCACAGTCCTGCTTACAGGAAAATCCCTTTATGTCTGTTAATAAAACTACATAGAGGCGTCATCACAGCCAACAATAGGTCTGGATGCGAACTGCAGCGCTAGCCAAGAAGAGCTGATTTGAAAAAAGTAAAGCGGAAAGAGGCAGAATAATATGCGTGACCATAAGGTCCTTCTCACTTTTCACTTGGGAAGTAATATTTATTGTAATAAATTCAGTTTGGACGCATATATCTCCTGTTCCAGTCGATTCTGCTTCCCTGAGACGGACTTCAGTTTGCTTTTGTTGAGCTATAATTAATTCTCCGTCTCACAAAAACACGTCTTGCACCCACAAAATGCAACGTATTGATCCAGTATGTGTGCACATTGTCGTCAGAATCCGGCTTTTCTTATGAGATGTATTTACAAAGCAATACAATATGACAGCTGCATACAATGCGGTGGTATACAAGCTTAAAGCCGAACAATGTCGACGAAACACCACATTTTATTGACACATCTGGTTTGGGGTAGTCGGTGTAATTCAGATAGCAGACATTATTTTCTCTTTCTCAGTGGCGTGTGAATGGAATGAAGTGAAATATTTGAGGTATTTTTTTAATCTAAATGAACATACATCTAGTTTTCTTTTAGATAGTAAAGTTCCTAATGATCTGGGAATTATACAGTCTGTATACAAAAAGCATTTCCCCATCGATAGTTCTACAAAAGCTTCGGCAAACGTTATTCATCAGATAATTGTGACAAAATCAGTATAAACGATTCCTACTTTGTGTCATTATGCAGCCTGTGTGAGAGAATCCGGTTCCAACATGTGGATCTATGTGTTCCTGGGGAACGCTTTACGGGGCATCGGAGAAACCCCCGTCACACCTCTGGGCATCTCCTACATCGATGACTTTGCTAAAGCCGAAAACTCCCCGTTCTATATCGGTAAGATGCTGTTGCTGATTTTGGGTTTCCACTGGTTCATGAGTTGTGTTACTCAATAGATAAATGTCTTAAAATGTCACATAAATGGTTTGTTTGCATCATGTTTCCTTGATTTTCACTTAGCATTTCAATCTGGTTGAGTATTAATTGGTACCTTCAAAGTCTTATTTACCAAAGATACTCCAACTGGTCTCTGTTTTCTTCTAGAAATTGCAATATCTTGTGTAGGGCATCATGCAATATTCTTGGTGTGTATGTTGCAGTGTTTGTATTTCTTGGTGTGATCATGCATGCCAACTGCAGTTTGATTGTCCATGTTTGCGGCTAATTTCTCAACAACAATCTGATGTAATCCAAACTATTTTCTGACTGGCAGCTTGTCTCCAGACCATCACTCTCCTGGGCCCCATGTTTGGATTCCTCCTGGGCTCCTATTGCGCCAAACTATACGTTGACATCGGATATGTGGATCTGGGTGAGTGCGGTGCATTTGCTTTGTGAGGAATGTGTCATCTGCTATTGTTCAACCTAAATGCATTAGCTGGCTGGGTAAAATGTAAAAAAAAAAATCAAATTGACAGTGGTTGGCTGGAGATGAGATGTCCGCTCTTATGCACTTGAATCTAAAATAAAGCGTCCATTGTTTTCAAAAATTACTCTGAATTTAGAGCAGGAAACGGGCCACTGTTATTGATTTACACTGCGTAGGTTCTGTGCAGGGTCGAGAAGGTGGACATGTGCGTTACAGTTAACCCTCTGAACTTCAAGCAGTTTCTGTGTGGGGTTTTTTTGGGTTTTGTTTTGCTCCTGACACAGTTCTACTTACTGTGGGCTCATTTTCACTCCAATATAAAGTCCTGCACCTCTGTGGAAACAGCACAACTATGACTAGAAGTAGAGAGAACTCAAAACTCTGTCCTGTTCAGCGAAACGGGGTTATAATGTCAAAAATGAATGTTGAATTTCATTATTAAAAAAAGTAAAATTTACAGCAACAAGTGCCAAAAGGTGTTACTAATAGGAGGGAAATGGTGACTCTAAGTAATATAAATATTTCACTACTTTTAAATTTGTTTCTATGCTTGACTCTGATATGTTTTGTAAAGTCTGCAAAATCCCTGAATTTTTGCTGTGACTGCTGATCACAGTCTTTGTTGGTTTCCGAGTTGTGCCATGGAGTGCATAAGCAAACATTATATTAAAAAGAAAATTTTAAACGAGACTTGTAGAATAAAGTGATTTTGATGGAGTATTTTTTATGGTATATGGCACATAAAAAGTTTAAGGATCATTGGAAAGTTGAAAATTTGACAATTCTTTCTGTTTTTACAGTTTCTAATGCTGCACTGTTGGTGTCTTCTTTTCTTTCTTTTTTTTTTAAAAGTCGCATGTCTTAAACCTACTGATGCCCCCAGAGGGTAAAAGGACTAATTGGGTTTTCATAAAGCGGAACCAAACAGTTTTTTTTTTGGCTAGAATCTCACATTTTTCATTAAACAGACGTGGGGGATCCTGGCTGGAGCCTCATTTAGACGAAGCCTGCTGCTCGTGGTGCAAAGGTCTGATGTGCTCTTATGAAAACAGGCAGCACACTTGTCAGAACAAGTTAGTCAGGACTTTTCTGAGTGTCCCTGTGAGGAACTCTCTGGACTTTCACTCACGTTTCAAATCAATAATTCAGCTGTCAAACAAAAATAAAATTAGGTCACCTGAAGTGTCCCATCCCTTATAGTTAAGATGCAATCTGCTTTTCCCAAAACAAAATCTGGTATTGTCATTTTACACTAAGAAAGACTGAAATTGCAAATGACACGTGTCCCTCTCCGGCTATTCTCTCGTGCAGAAAGCGTGACCATCACTCCTAAAGATGCCCGCTGGGTGGGTGCCTGGTGGATGGGTTTCCTGGTGTCCTCCGGCCTCCTGCTCATCTCCAGTATTCCCTTCTGGTTCTTGCCTCGCTCGCTGCCCAAGCAGGAGGGTGAAGAGGTCAAGCCAACTCCAGCCCGTGAGACCGTGGATGGGACGGAGGACGCGCTCAACAGCAACCACAACCTGAAGCTGACTGAAATTGCAAAAGGTACAACAGATACAGTCTTTTTCTTCTTTTTTGTGTACACGTGCAGGTTTATGGAATTTGCTTGTATTGTTGCGTCCACAGGGTTCCTTCCGTCGTTGAAGCGCCTGTTGGGAACTCCTGCTTACTTTCTGCTGCTTTGTGGCAGCATCCTGAAGTTCAACTCCTTCATTGGCTTGTTAACCTTCAAAGCCAAATACATGGAGCAACAGTTTGGACAGTCTGCATCCAGAGCCAACTTCCTCATAGGTAAAAACGTTAAAACCAAACCTCCTGTTGTTGCTCTTCTCACACTTTGAGATACACTTAATTATAGTTGGACGTTTCATTTTGACTGGAATGGTCTCCCAGTATCCAGATCCCTGTTGTCTTTTTCTTCTAGGTGTGTTGAACCTGCCAGCAGTGGCGGTAGGGATCTTCCTGGGAGGACTTCTGATGAAGAGGTATAAGCTGAGCGTGGTGTCGGGAGCTCAGCTCTCCTTTGCCACATCCTTCATGGCGTACCTCCTTTTGCTGCTGCAGTTTGGCACCAAGTGTGACAACATACCTGTGGCTGGGCTCACCATCTCCTACAATGGGTCAGTGCTGTGACAGAATAGATTATTGCAACTTTAAAGGTCCCATATGGTGCAAATCCATTTTTATCTTGTTTCGAGATTGTTACAAACTAAACAAAAGCGGTAAAAGATGAAAACATTTACTTCTGCCATTAGTCAGGTCCCCCGCTACTGAATGGCCTCCCAGCTTTACAAGCCAGTAAGAATTATGTGCTACATACTAGCTAGTGAACCAGTAGTCGTCCAGCTCAGACTTTGTATAATGCTGCTAACTAACTGCTTCACGTTGAGCCATTCAGATTGAACGTCTGCCTCATAGTCCGTCTGGTTTGTTTGCTTCCAGTAGATGCCTCTGCTAACTCTAAACGTCTCAGCCAGAAAAGCACATCAAATGTTCTGCTGTTGGTTGTAAGAGTGAACACAACGGTCTTAATGCACTCCCAGCATCTGAGAAACTGCAGATCCAGTGGATTGCTGCTCTTATTGACGGCTATGTCTCAACATTTTTGGAAATTTGTCTATCAAAGATGCAGAGAGAGTCTCCTTCTTGAAGGGAGTGTGGACAGCAATAGCTCAGCTGCATTTAAAGCAACAGACACCGAAACAGCCCATTAAGAACAGAGCTAAAACCAGGAGTTATACAGTCATGGAGAAATGAATAATCTTTGCAGTATTTTAAACTTTAAAAAAAACAAAAAACACATCTCATTAGGGGCACAACATGGGACCATGTAGTCTAATGTAGTGGTTGCTCTACTTTTACAGTATCAAACTTGTTCATTAATGCCAATTTAAAATATAAATCTATGGCCTGCAGAACACACACTGTGTCATACAACGGAGAAACGCTCTTCGCCGAGTGCAACAGCGACTGCTCATGCTCAGCAGAGGAGTGGGATCCCGTCTGTGCAGACAGCGGCATCACTTACATCTCCCCTTGTATGGCCGGCTGCCTCGGCTCCAGCGGATACGGCAAGAACACAGTAGGACCTCACACAAGACCGCACAAACATACAGTGTTCATGGTAAACCTCATTGGGTGGACGATGTTTGGGCTCCAGAGTGTCTGGAGTACTGGGTGTTGAGGTTGTACAGTTCAACTTCTGTCCCTATAATCTCTTTATAATTGGTAGTTATCACACTTATAAGGATTTGAGCAGCATCACAATAAACTGTGCTTATTTGGAAGCACCTTATAGTCCATCATAGCTGCTGAAGTTTCAAGGATTACTATGACTACATACGTTTTATAGCTATTATTTCAGATGAATTACCCTAAGAACAGGATTCATCATTGAATTTTCAATATATTTTGATATCTTACATGAAAAATATTAAAACATTAAAGGTACTTCTACTGTATATATTTATGCTGACTATAGGAAATAGGAAAACAAGTCATTTCTAGCCGGTTCTAAGTAAAGATTTCTCTTTTTTTCCCCAGGTTTTTCACAACTGCAGCTGTGTGTCCGCCTCCTATCCAGCAGGCAGCACTACATCAGTGAAGCTGGGTCAGTGCCCTCATGCCAAAGACTGCAGTCGCAGCTTCACCTCCTACATGGCCATATCGGTGCTCAGCTCCTTCATCAACTCTCTGGGAGCCACACCGGGCTACATGGTCATCATACGGTCGGTGCAACGTGGCTCGGCAATCTAAGGAATCACAGTGACTGGGAATGTTGGTGTTGCTGTGTAGCATTGCAACGGGTTGAGCCTCAGTGAGACAAGAGCGACAGCAAAGTTTTGATTGGATTCATGAAACTCCTTAGAGCTCCAGGAAAATGCAACTGCACTTCTGTATTTGTGCTTTTTGAGTTCTAATTGACTGATGGAGGGACCCAGTATGTATCGTTACCCCAACAATCCAATGCTAATGTCCGTTCTGAGGAGAACTCTCAAGACTGCATTATAAGTACCTGATACTTGGTGATGTAGACCCCCTCCTCTGTTTCGAGGTGCTTGTTCCTTTGAGGGTCTACAACACCAATTTTCAGGCGCTTATAATGCAGTCTTAAGATCTCTTCCCAGAACACTTTACCATCAATAACACCTCAAGTCATCAATGACTTACAACAATTCACACCTGAAGTACTTTTGGGTCATTAGCAAGGGATTTGGGGATTTAAAGGACTCCCCTATCAGTCGTTTAGAACTGAACAAGCCTCTTAGATTAGAGTTGAAATGTCTTCAAGAACTAAAAAGAGAATTGCAGTTGTCTTTTACGGAGGCTGTTATCGTTACATGTGACTTGGATGACTGAGAATCAGCAGAGACATTAATGAACCTAAGCATTTACCAGATTTCACTTGTCTGTCCAAGTTGTTTTTGAAACACCAGCCGGCTGCTGTGACCATGACTCAAGCTGGGCAACATGAGTGAGTCACAAAGTAACTTTCAAGTAAGCTTTCTTGGAACAGCAGAATGACTCAACGTCCAGTAAAGACGTCCCGTTACGGTTGAAAAATAGTTTGTGCCGACATCCAGGAATGTGCCTTCTACCAAAGGGAAGGGAACAAAAACACAACCTGTGATGCAAACAGAGATCATCCCCAAGACCATGACATTTCTAACAACTGTGTCCTAACCTGCTGACCCAATGAACAACTTGAAAGTCCAAAAAATGCCAGAAACCATCTGGGAGCTGTCTACCTGCTGTTCACCAAGAAATAGGAGATAAATGTGTATTTTCTTCTTGTTTTTTAATTACAGATGCATCTCATCAGAGCTCAAATCTCTGGCATTGGGTATTCAGACATTGGCAACAAGGACTCTTGGTAAGTGTCTTTACTTTCATTTTCATGTAAAGCACATAGCTTCATTTGGCTTGATCTGTTTGATTTGGACTTGTTTGGCTTTTGGTTGTCGGTAGATTCCAAAACTTTAAAGCTGTATCTACTGGGAAAAATGCCCCCTTTATGTGGCATCATGACTTATAGATATGATTGAGGGATTTCCCTTCATTGCAATGTTGTGACAATTCGTATTTCGTAGGCGGAATTCCTGCACCAGTGTATTTTGGAGCCCTGATTGATTCAACTTGCCTCAAGTGGTCGATAAAGAAGTGTGGGGGCAGGGGGGCGTGTCGCATTTACAACTCCGACATGTACAGGTACCCCACAGTGGAGATGAATGCAATAACGCTCCAGCAACAACATGTATGAAGATGGTTGTAAACGCCGATGTAGATTTTAAGCTCTAACCTTTATGTAATTTCTCTCTGTGCAGGATCATTTTTCTGGGTCTGATCACTTGCCTCAGTGGTTCCTCCTATTTCTTTATGATTGCCGTCATCATCCTCCTCAGGCGAAATTTTCGGAAGCCGGAGCAGGTAAAAGACACGCAGCAGCCGAGGTCTTCGAAGGAAATTGAACTTCGGAAGGCGTCGATCCCAGCCGAGAAGACTAGCGCTGGTCCTAAAAATCCCAAACTGCCTCAGCCCCCGAAGATTAAGGTCTTGGAGGAAGGAGTCGAGGTTCACAGGACGGAGCAGCTTTCCCAAGATGACGGACTCCTTTCCACGAATAACACACAGGAGCCTAGATCTTTGGCAGAGAACGCTACTCTTTGTTCTGATGGGGCGAGCATAGAGCTGGTCTGTAAGGAAACAACTGCACAAGTGGAAAAAGAGAAGCCAGACCATCAGATAGATGACAAGAACAGCTTAGAGAAAGAAAGTCAGCAAAGAAACTGATGGAAGTGTTCAATCAAACTGGGCCCGATGTTACCAAGTTGGGACAAAAGTCTGCTGCTTGTTTTTTACCCGGACTATAGCATGCTCTATGCTAACACCATGTCCCCCTCGTTTATTACAGGATAGAGCTGGTATATTATATTTAGTCCTGTAGAGGAAGAACCCTTCAGTGGATCCATCTGTATCCACAGCTGTAGAAGTTTAGTGCAGGATCATGGTGGATTGGCGGATGGTGGATTGATTATACTCCAGCTCTGCAAGGCCCAGAGTGGAAGACATTATAGAGTAAAATTCTTGGTCGAAATAAATGTTTTGTGTGAATAAATTAATCTTTGAATGAGTGATGTTATTGTCACGTTCATTTTGCAGAGCTGATATGAACACGGCTGCAGAAAACAACTTTAAAATGTACGTCATTGGTAACTAAACCAGGAGTAACTGAGTTTTTGGGCCACTCAGGTGCAAACAACACTGTAAATGGGTATTGCATAAATTTTCTCCTTATAGGCCAATTTATGCTTTACGTGTCTGCAAGCGTCATTTTGCGATAACTCATATGTCTGGAGTGAAGGAAAGTAAAAGGCTTGACTTGCCGTTACATCCTGATCTCCACGTCAGGGATAATTTATATTTCTAAGTAATTAATGAAGCTACTGCTCCATGTGGGCACCTGACGAGACGCTGGTATGGATCCTGCTTCTGTCTGATGCTGCAGGTAAGTAATCAACTCAGAGGAAAGACTCCTACAAACAGCTGGAAGCAACAAACTCAACTTTAATTCCTGTTGTTTTTGTCAAAACTCAGATTACATTCATTCTATCAAGTCTCATTCATCTGACTTGTTACAGATTCTGTCTTCATTGCAGTAAGGTTTTGTTTTGAGGGACTTTTAGGTTTGTAATAGATGCAAAACGTTACTAGATCCAGTATGATTGCCGTCACTACTTTTACAGTAAAGTTACCTGGGACGCTGATTCAGACATGAAGCCGATACGTTTAAATGCTGTTAGATTTATGAAATAGAAGGTTTGGAGTGGAAGAGCACAGTCCTGTAGGTCTCTAAAAACTAGATGTTTAAACCATCAAACAAACAAAATTTAGACATACTGAGTGTTGGATTTATCAGGATTTATTTGAAAATGAGTGCAAGAGGTGTCATTGACTTTAGCTCAAGAGTGGAGACTGAGGGCTCCTTATTGCTGATTAAAGAGCGAAATAATTGATCTTTTCAAAAAATAAATTTCATGATGTAAACAAGTCCCAAATGGTTGACTCTTTTTCAGATTGCAAATTTAATTTGAGACAGTAAATGGTGTTTTGAGCCATTTTCAACCCGTGAATGTTTTAGGAATCTGGTGTAAATATCAATAGTGACAGCAGGATTAATGAGTTTCATCACCGTACAGTCACATCATTTAGCTTAAAGCTCAAAAAACATGCTTTGGTGTGCAGAGTACGTTAAGATCCCTAACAATTCCCCGAATGATCATTTGTACCTAAAACGACACACCTGCAATTCCAAAATAAATGAATATGCAAAGATTATTTGTCTTAAAAGTTTAACTACTGCAAACGAGATGCCTCATATTTCACTAAAAGATCAGAATATGTGATATAAACACATCAAAACTTTGACATCACATGCGCATAAGCTGCCTGTTGGACCAGGATTGGTTTCCAAACGAGTTGTGGTGCCGCCTTCAAGTCAGATTTTCCGTGAGCGCAGAAGAACTGTCCACTTTCAGACGCTACACGTACTGTACATCATGCCGTACAGTGAAGATCACACATCGGAGAAAAGCAAAAAGGACCCAAACACATTTTTAAGAGTCCAGCGACTCCAAGGTTTGGTTTGTTCCCCATGACATGGGGGAGAAGATCTAGTTCTTCAGCTGCTAAATGCACTGTGGCTGGAAAACAATGCTCATGAGAGATGTGAGAGTGAACCAAAACCAGGATTTGCTCTTAAGCTCTATGCAGCAGAGAAAAACTGTCGGATTAGATAACAACTCTCTGTGGGCTTGTTCCTCAGAGTTACCCTTTCACATGGTCTTTTGACCCCTTGTTGATATAAAAGGCATTCTAAGTTTAGGTAAAAGTAAACATTTGCTGTAAGACACAACACAGCTCTACGAACTCTAAACGCTGGAGAGAGTTCGGCTGGAAAAATCGGACACGTTTCTTTGTCACGCCGCAAATGAAGTCACAGTCATATTTTCTGGTCATGCACCAAATTACAACCTTTCTGGGATGACAGTATTGGACTTTTGGAGGACATCTTAAAATATAAGGTTCCCAGGGACCCACGGATTCTGTATCTGGGATTGATCCCAGAAGGAGTTATTATGAAAGGAGACAGGTACCTTTTCAAAATAATTCTTGTTGCCTACAAGAAGGCCATTACTAGGAACTGGTTAAAAAGCGATGCCCCAAATACAGGGCACTGGATGGTCATTATGGAGGAGATCTATGCAATGGAGAAAATGACTTTTCATCTGCGAATCAAAGACTTTGCACAAAAATGGAGGAAATGGACACAAAAACAAAGACAATGCTTACTCAACTGACTGAGAATTTGTATGCCCCCTTTTGTACTATTTTATGTTATTTTTTTTCTCTGTTCCTGCTGTCTTTATACAAATAAAACTAAATAAAAAGTTTAAAAAAAAAAAAAAAGTAAACATTTGCACGTTTCATGTGTTGCTTTCATTTCTTGGATTGCCTTCCTTTAACCAACAGAGTCACATAGTTCCCAATGAAATCCCGTACAAGAAGGAACAAGAGCAGCCGTTAGAGGGTTATTGTATAAGGCTGCCTTTTTCGTCGAGGTAATGCTGCATTATTTTCAACAAAACAAAACACCATCTGCATTCCTGAACAAGCAGTCATTAATTTCTGTGCAATTAATTTAAAAATAATGCCATTTGTTTTCCCAGCAGAGATGTCGCTGACGTTGACCGTTTATTCGTGTCTGCGGATGCATCACAAGCCAGAGAGACTCATTCAACCAGGTCACACTGTGGAGTTTCCTCCGTCCGACTGTGTGCAGGTATTACAGCAAAAGTGGTCACGTCCCTGCGGTTTGCTTCAAACGCTGGATGCTCTCGACGCGGACAGTCATTATCGGAGGTCACGGCACCGCTACCTCTGCCGACACCAGCTACTTATGTACTAATCGCTTCCCGGTGACTTTTTCCTCCCACTTATGCGCAAAGCTACAGGAATAATAAATACAGGACGCTTGTGAGCCGAAATCTCACTCAGCTTTCCGAAGGTTAGTTGTTTCGGTGACGTTAACGTGGAATCTAGCTGCCGCCCCTGTATCATATGGCTCCTCGCGATTACAAAAGTAATCCGAGGGACAGGATGACATGTTTCCCTTGACTACCTATAAAAATAGACTTAAAATCCTACACATGCCGCCCACTCTCTTCTTTCTTTTCCTCTGGTATACCCTATTTTTTTTTTCTTTTTGTCTCTCCTGCTGCCCCGTCCTTTCTTTCAAGACGCATACACCTTTCTGTCAACTTCCAAAAATCTCAAATTAAGCAGAAATATGCCTGAAAAACACAAATATCAGCATCAGGGAGAGGTGGAGGGAATCAAGTCACAATACTGAGTCCAGAAATAGCCCGTATTAAGAGTCTGGAGTGAGTCTGAAAAATATCATGTCACCCTCTCGTCTGCAGTTACTGTTTCCTTGTAAAGCTTACAGGAAACTCGGTGAGGTGTTCATTGGACCGCGGTGGGTTTGGGGGTGTTACACGTCCATTAGGGCTGCACTATATCTCTGTTAGCTCGAAGCTGCGGTGAAAACCAGCAGCACTTACCAGCAGCCTGCAGCCTGTGTTGGCATCTCCCCAGAGAGACGGTGGGATGATCCCAACGGACACCTGTTCGTCAGAAACAATAGAGTCCTGCGCTGTGCTGTTATGAAAGCGGCGGCCGCGGTAATCGATTTGAATTGAGTGTGGTATCTGCTTTGTGTTTTTTTTGTTTTTTTTTCTTGCGTTTTGTGATAATAGCATTTTTACGAGTTCTCTTTGATTCCATACAGGATGTAGGAAGCTGCTGGCTTGGTGTCTGGAGCTGGAAGAATTCTTTGCTGCACGAGATCAGAAACAGGACTTTGAATGGATTAAGTTGCAAAAGCGCTAAAGTGTAGGATCAGTGCAGCAAGAAAGACCCAGAGTCAAACCCACCGGTCTGTGTGAGCAAGACGGGGTTAGAAAAATGTAGTGTAGAACTGTTTTTGACAGTCTTTACTACTTACTACTTGCAATAATTCATTTTTTTGGCCACTTGGGGCAAAAACAAACCAACAATGCAACCCTGTTTCCCTAAAGTTGCATCCAGATACAATCAACACACAACACAAAAGTGCATTCTTAATTACATTTTAGAGAATTTTCTATTGGTTAGACAACAGTATGATGTAAAGCACTTCCACTATCAAAGAGCCACAAAGTCCATGTTAGGAGGATGTATGGGTTGTGGTGGGGTCCAAGGAGCTGTTCATGATGTCACCCATAAGGTCGTGTTGTTTTGCCGGCGTATTCTGTGGAACATAATGGCCGAACCACACTGTCATTCTGCTATAAAAAGAAATCACGCTCCCATATTTCTTTGAACCAATCACAGTCCTTATGGGCGGGGCTAAACAACGGATGTGGCTTCTCACAATGGAATTGTGAGCAGTGGAATTGTTTCGGTGGAACATTTTGCAAGCAGAGAGACAAACACTGTCATTAAAATCGATAATAAACTGCAAAAAAAACTAGCAGGGAAGCCTGACAGCACAATCTAAATCCTCCTGAAAACTTTACATTTTCAGTGTGGGTGGTTGCTGCTCGGAGGTTGTTGTCGTTTCCTGCCATGATGGAAAAGGTAACACACAGCTAGATACTCAGATTGAAGCAAAGAGGTGGAATAGGAGTAGAAAAGTGTAAATATCTCCAGGCCATGGACTAAACTATGACTGTACAACCTGTCATTCAAAGCAGCCCACCCTTAATTTTGCATAATTTCAAGCCTTAATATACTTCAAATGGGTTAGTTACATAAAGATTCACCTCATGTGCTGTTGCCACCAATGGGAAATTTCACTATAGAGACCAAAACTGTCTTATTTACAAGGCTGTAAACATGTTTATTACCGCTTTAACGTTGAACATTTTAACATGGAGGTCTATGGGGCGTGACTCACTTTTGGAGTCTGCCTCAAGTGGTCATTCGAGGAACTGCAGTTTTTGCCACTTCCAAGTTATTTTTTCAGTTTGGAAGTTTGCTTTCACCACCAAAGCTTAGTTTTGACTCACTGTTTACCTGAGTATTTCTTTGGTTAAGTTTAGGCACCAAAACTACTTGTTTAGGTTTCAAAAAATATCATGGTGTTGGTTAAAATGCACCATTTTCCAACACGCTTCAATGTTTGGGTCACAAGAGAGACAAGTCCTGTTGCATCTAATATAAAAGCAGCAACAGCAATGCAATACAATAAATAGCAAAGATGTTGATTAATATTTCTGGACACACAAACATAATCTTGGAGAAAATTAGCTTCTCTCAAAACGCATCGATATATAATGGAGGCGGCTGTGGCTCAGGTGGTAGAGCAGGTTGTCCTCCAGTCGCAAGGTTGGTGGTTCGATCCCCCACCCCTCCACAGTCGAAGTGTCCTTGGCCAAGACACTGAACCCTAAGTTGGTCCCAATGGCAGGCAGCACCTTGCATGGCAGCATTAGTGTATGAATGTGTGTGTGAATGGGTGAATGAGAAACACATTGTAAAGCGCTTTGGATAAAGGCGCTATATAAGTGCAGACCATTTACCATAATCTGTTGTTAATACAAGACCTCCCAAAGAGCCTAATATTTGGAACCATTTTCTCAGGAAGCTAAGCGAAGAGATGCACTCGCTCATCCACTTTCCAACTAGTCAAACGTGCTCGCAAAGTGCTCCTCTCACATTTTACCTTCGCTTCATTAATTAGCGCTTAATGTTTGTGACACGTCCCATCAAAATAATGAGACAGCATTCATTATTAACGAAGATTCGTCTTCGCATTTATTATTCAACGCGGCTGAGGCCCGGAGGGAGGCGCCGGGGCCAGAGTTTGGCGACCTAAAACTTCATTAAGGTAAATCGAAGGACAGCTTCCCACTTTGACAGCGTCCTTCTCCCCGGTGTGGGTTTGCGGCGGGTCAGTCCCGTCGCGGCGGCTGATGACAATGCTGACGAAGGCGATGATGAGGAGGGTGACGTACGGAGATGTGCGTTTACAGTAAAAAAAAAAAATCTGCATACGTGAGAGTTAAAGTAGAAGCGAGTGCGATAGGACATGTATAAGACCCACTTTATCCCCCACCCCACCCCCTGTGTGAATGAAACGGCTATATTTGGAGGGAGCTGATGTCACAAGTGGTTTGAGCAGAGAGCCTATAACTGTTGCAGCCGGCTTGTGTGACGGTCTGACAAACCTTGGACTGCTCCGGCGACAGACTGAGATCTGGACGACACAACAGAAAGTGAGTAACGCTGCCTCTCGTCAGGTTTTGGGGTGTCTCGGATGCATAGTGAAGGCGCGCTGCAAGAAATTGAAAGTGTTGTCGGTGTGTATAGCTAGAGTTTTCTTGTGTGGAACATTTTGACAATGCTCAGCCTCTTTTAATATTTACTTTGAAACACGTTTGTGCTGTGAAAATAAATTGTAAATTTAAAGGTTTGCAGAGGAGCTGTGACTGATTGGACAGTAGAGAAATATGCATCAGTGGAAGCAGAAGTTTAGGATTTTGTATTTCATGTAAAGATGTGCTTGTCTTTGATATAATCTAAAATAATATTAAGGAAATTAGTCTGATCTGCATCAAAGAAGTGGAAAAACACAACTATAGCTGTGATTGTAATTGAATGAAATACGATTATAATCATTTATTGAATCAATTTATGATATTTATGATATTTTTCATTCACTTTCCAGCTTCCAACTTGTGAGGATTTGCTGCTTTTCTTCATCTTATTTGGCAATTTAATTAAAAATCTTTAGTTTTTGCACCACTGATCAGACAAAATAGGCATTGTCTTTTATATTTTTCTTTTTTCTTTTTACATTTTAATGGCTATTTTCAATCATAATTCTCAAAAAGCAGCAAACTGATAATGAAAATAATCCATAATTGTGGCCCCAGTTTTATATAATTGTTAGTTAAGAGGTGATTAAAGAGAATATTTAGAGCATTTGAGTTTGACTGATGAAAGCTTAAAAGGTGTTTGTGGATTTATGTAATTGGAACATTGAGCACAAATTCATAGTTGAGTTATTTCTTGTGCAGAATCATGTTTGTTGTTTTCTAATAATTGTCTCTGATTTTACTTGAGAGGAAACGATCAATGTTTTAGTGCTTTGTTGTGTTAAAATCTAACATTATGTGCTGATTTTATGTTTAAATTGTTCAGTTTCTGTGCAGTTGCAGCTGGTTTGCAGTGAATAAGAATAAACTGGATGAACTTTGGTGCCTCCATTGTGTTCCTGCAGGTATTCACTCCTCACTATGTATCACCTGAGGGTGCCTGTGCTTCTCCTCATGCTGCTGGTGTTGCTGCGCTGCGTCACGGCCGCTCCAAGCCACGGGTAAGCAAACAGGGCAGAATTCAAACAGCAGCAAACAATCCTTTTTCTTTTTTTTTTCCATTTTCACTTTGCTCAGTTATCGATTTAAATGACTCTTAACAGCCCATGTAGGAGTTTAACCCGGGGTCAGCATCATTCATGGAAATTGCGCCCTAAGATGTCTGTAATGGTTTTTGTAAAGGGCAGCGGGATGCAGATGTTTAAGTCAGGAGGTCGACGCCGATTGTGCTCGTCTGTGGGAAAGTGTTTCATTGTGCCAGGGCCAAGTGGCCACTTTCCCCCCGCTTGCTCTCGGGGGGCTCGTGGACGCTTTGAAGAGGCCATCAGCAGCTATCAGGGTGAATCGCTCTGGCTCTTCTCCCCTCTGTGATTCAGGTACTTCAGCTCCAGCTCGTCCAGCGAGCAGGAGAGCGCTCTCCCCGACAGCGAGGGCTGGCTGCTGCCCGGGCTCATCTCCAACCCGTTCCTCGGCCTCATGGGTTCGCGGCCACGAAGGGGGCTCACAGCCATGAACAGGTAATCCCCCTCCTCGATGGGTAGACGACCTTCCTGCTTTGAATCTTGTGATATTCCTCGATTGCTTTTCCTTGATCCCTGCAGTCACCACATAGAGAAGAGGAAGTGCAACACAGCCACCTGCGTCACCCAACGGCTAGCGGACTTCCTGGTGCGCTCCAGCAACACCATCGGCACCGTTTACGTACCAACCAACGTGGGATCGGCCACCTACGGGAAGCGGGACCTACTGCAGCCTCCCAGCTACCTGCCCCTCTAGTACCGACCAGCCCTCCCAGCGCTGCGATGATATAACCATCATCTTATGTAACAATGATCGTGAGAATGACGTTCATAACGGTGACACCGACGGCGATGATCACTACGATCACAGTTTTCTTGGTTAGTTTTAAGAAACAGTGCCTTTAATTTAAAATCCAGTCGATGTGTGTGCGTTTCCCTTCTGGCTTTGTGTGTGTTGTGGCTCTATTAAAGCTGTTCCACATGATGTGAATGTAAAAAAAAAAAAAGAGAAAAGAAAACAAGAAAAATGAAAAATATTAAAGTAATTAATAAACTATAAATAAAAGAAAACACATTTATAGCTGTATGAAATACATGTTATCTGTTGTTTTGATAATAAAATTGTAAAAAATATATTTTTAAAAAATCTTCATGCGTTTTAAGCCACATTATTGCAAACAATGACAGCTGCATGTGGGGTTACACCAGATGTGTCCATTAAAAACCGTTCCAGATTTACTTACCAGGGAATTAGCAGTTTCCCTGAGGTTTTATACGGAAGGGATCAATAAAGTTTTATTCTAATTCTAATTCTAATTCTAATTCTAATGTAAAGAACAAAATGTCCTTTCAATCATTCATTATTTCAGATAGCTTCAGTATGTGTCTTTTTAGGTCAACAATGGATAAATGTCATCATGTCATGTTCTCACTGTTGCCACAGGTAACCAAGGAGGAATCCCTTATTGCCTGCTATAAGTCACATGTGTCCAGCGCTGACCTACACACCACTGTAGGGCTGAATCTGTGTCTGAGAACATAAAGACACTTAGGGACATTTGGTGTGAAAATACACACAAATTCACTACAACAAGATGCAAAAATCGTCTCAAAAAGACTCAAAATCATCAGAATAAGACGCAAAGCCACCACGAACACACAGCATCACCACAAAACAAATGCAAAGTTAACACAGAAAGATTCTAAATCACCACAATAAGATGTGAGACCGTCACAAAAAGACACTAAAGCACCACCAAATGATGCAGAAACATGAAAATCACCATAATGAGACACAAAATGAGGCAAAATTGCCACAAAAAGACTCAAAATCATCACAATAAGACACCAAATCACCACAAAAATGTGATGTGTGCATCATACTTCTTGGATACAACTGCCTGTTCTTTCTGATCCAGATTCAGCTTTTATGGAACCTTATATGCTGTCAACAAACATGTTGTTGGAGTTAGCAGATGGATAGTAGAAAGTTCAGTCTGTATGGTTAAGTGTAATGTGGACATGGTGGATATTTTACAAGCACTTCTCTACTTATTTTGGGGGTTTTTTTCTGCCTTTGTTAGAGGCTTTGAATCCTATGAAAACACTGAACTCATGTGACAGCCGTCGTCTTTAACACGTCTGTGTTGAGCTTGTTAGATGTGGTTATAAAATCAGGATTTTAGCATTCCCAACAGCAAAATTTAAAAAATATGTAAATAAGAACAGCTTATTGGGAATTCATCTGTATTGAAATGCAGTGGATGTGAGCACAGGGAGCAGGAGAGAAGTGATAACGCCGGTGTAGTTTCTCTTCAGCTGGTCTGATATGCCGCCGAAACCCTGCACAAAACACAAAACACTTCTTTGTTTTGTGATAAATTCAAACACTGTCATTTTTTAAAAGTCTTGGGTCTTTAGAAACTTACACATGGACTCTG